AGCTACGACCTTCCCATAACCTATAAACCCCTTATAATCGCGAGCAACGAGGCTTAGTTTGCTCTATCGGTTCTCCACCCCCGTAACTTGAACCCTGACTCGATCGTATTCCTAATCTTTAACACGTTTCGTCGCTCTTTCCCCTCGCGAGTTCCTTCATTGATTCGCTTATAGATTTCGTAATCGACGATTGTTTATACGTATAAATAAAACAAGTATTTATAACGCGTTTAACGCGCAGTAGAAAAACAGATCGATGAGCGGCGACGACGGTCCCTCGGTCTGGCCGAGATATCACACCGGGAATGATAACATCGATCGTCGTCTAGCTGACGTCACGTGTGCGGTGAAAACGTGTAAATCAGCCGGTCGATCGTATTTCATCCCCCTGCAAGCAACCTGTTCACCGTGGAATCCCCATATGCCCGGTGCACTCTGAAAATCTGCGTCTGAACAGATAGTCGCGCGCGAACGATCTTCGAGTAAATAGAGCACGGAAATTAACGCGTGTGAAACGTTCATGTATATTGAAAAAGAGAGTAGAAATCAACGTTCTTTTAATCCCCTTGATACCTGAAATTGCTAGAAGAAATTCAATTTGACAAAGTTCAGTCGTTAATAATAAAGTATCTAATCCGCTAGTGAATCGGGTCGATGTTTTCAGAAATATTTTTAGGCAACAAGAGGCACGTCCGACGATGTATTTTCGGCGATGGAAAATGATCCTTCAAGTATATTCTACGCCCTTTTACTTTGGCACGTAGAGCGTAGAACGTAACCGTGCTGGAAAATCTTGGACGGTCGATCGGGCCTCGTGCAATCGTGCGAAAAATGTAAAACTAATAAACGTCGATGGGAACGGCTTTGTTGCGAGCTCGATCTCTCGAGCGATGTTCTTTCACTGTTCAGTTAGCAATCGATTCGAATTATTAATATACGCGGTCGAAAATTTTGTTCGGAAAGCAGGATACGATGTAGGAAGGATCGTTCGGTGAACGGTGATTCCGGGAGAAATTTAACGGGCCATTATAATATCATCAAAATCAAAATGTCGTGCCACGTTGTTGCGTGGGTTGTTGGAGCCACGAGTGATTACGATGCGTCACCGGATGATCTAGACACTGGCAACAGCCATATCCTCAGATTTATTTCGAGGTTAACGGCGACATTGCAGCATCGTTGCGCCACATTTTTCTCGGTAAAAAGGCGTCACCAATTCCTGCGATAGAAACGCGACCACCACGAGAAACCAGACTGTTTGCAAAAGTATTTTCTATCATCTTCGGATCCTCGTTCTGTCGACACATTAGTCTCGATTTGCGATCTCAGCATAATAAACGATTTAAACGTCGAAGCTTTAATGGATACGTTAGCGGAAGGGTTAAGAAATACGTACTTACGTTGGCAAATGGCAATTGTTAGGCATTTCGCGAGCATGCAGAGTAAACAGGTAGTTAATCGGATGGTCGATTAGCAGGGCGAAAGGTGTTAATAAGAATCGTTCTTCAAGAAGACGATACATTCGCGTAGTAGCGTACCGTAAGGTAACGCAATCGGCCAGCAGGAAGGAAATGGAAAACAGCGAGCGTGTAAGAGGGTGGTGGACGAGGGAGAAAGAGAAAGGGGTAGCGAGGGTGGCGGTCGGTGTTGAGGTAGCGGGAGGGTCGTAGGTATCGCATCAGGGTGTATGCACCGAAGAGGGGTAGGCCGCGGCGGGGGTCACGGAGTGCGCTGACCTACTGTTCCACATTCGTCGCACAGAGCAGCCTTTCCGAACTTCGTAGCGAAGCGAACCCAGAAACCCAGAACGCTGCCCCCTGCACCCTTCCGCTCTCGCTACCCCTCCAACACAGCCTTCTCTTCCTCTTTCTCCCCAATTATCCTTCCATTCCTCTCTCTTTTACACCGCTTTCACTCCCTCGCCCCTTTTGCTGTTCCCCTTTTTCCATCGCTCGCCTAACATCTCGCGGATTTAAAGCCGAATCGTTTATATCGTGGAATCGCGCGGAACGGCGCAGCCATCCGGGCGCATCCTATCGTGACTTTCTTTTCTTCTTTTCTCTTTAAATATATGAACGCATACGGACCGAGAGAGAGAGAGATATCTCCTGTTTTTCTCGGTTACGGATTTTTCCTTCTTTATATAGCTGAAGAAGCGCAAACTGTTTAAATTGCGAAACTCTATGCGAAATGATTCATACTTGCGTGTTTTAATTTCATTGCCAAAGGGTAAAAATTGCAAGGAACTTCCGTGTAAGACTACTACTTAAACTATTAAGTATACTTTAACGCTAACACGTGGTCTCGCTCAGAAATTTCCCGGGGAAGAAGGTAGAAAACACGATAGATAATCAATTGTTAAGAAGATCCAAAGAAAATGGTCATTGAATAAGAGACAGCAAGAACAGGGGGTTGAAATTTATCGCGGTCATTTAGCAACGACCCGGCCGTTAGCTCGTTTCGTTCGCAAGGGCAATTAACACTGCTCCCGTACGGGGATCGTTGAACCAACCTGCAGCTGGTGTTTTTCTTTCTCGATTGTTTTTAACACCCTCTCGAGGCATCGTTTCCAATCTTTCTCCTTCGATCACGAGGTTGCGCCTGTTGACAAATGCAGTGAAATATTTTTCTCCGAGTTATCGGAAATGTAGAAAAGGTGGACAGGGTTCCTGGATCGCAAGGAACGATCATGCACCCCGAAAGCTCGTTTCCCTCTCCGGTTGCAAGCGCAGCGGCGCATGTCTTGCCGTTGCCGGCAGTATCGGTTCGACGCACACCGACTACTCCGAAAGCTCACCTATGCTCACGAATTCTGACACACACTGATTAGACAGCGTGAGCGTCGTGACACCTGGCGTTTCGACTAGGTAAGCGACCCTACGCGATTTCAAAAATTCCCGCGAAAATATCATGTTGAAGGTTTGACGGTGCAATGGCAATGATTCGCGATAAATTGATCGATGTATTACCAATTATTCAGCGATTTCTTATTAAGAAGAAATAAATAAATCAACTTGGGTCTCTTTGAACGATAACATTCAAAGGAACTCGATTCTCCGGGGTCCAGTATCGAGCATTTAATTGATAAATCAGCAACGTTATTATGAAACTTTCAAACGGAAACTTTCTTCCTAAGTTGGAACGAATAGAATTCTTAACAAACGGCAAGTTTTTCAAGCTCTCGGAAGACCAACTTCGGTTATTCAGGTGTTCAATTATTAAAGTTATTTCATAGCATTCAGCAACATTGCTAGTTTATTCGTTCTCTGGTGGTTCGAATCGAAATCGCAATCATGTACTAAAGGACACGCATTCGCCACGGACTAATAGGCGTTGAACACGTTGCGCGGGAACTATGTATAACCGAGGTGTGTATAGTTTACAAACTTTTGGTACCAACAACCTTCGCGACATCCTCCTGTAGACGGGTTTGACCTAACCGACGACAACGATAGAAAAAGTATACCCGTGCACAAAGTTAATCTGTTCTTGATACATTGAAAACGAAGGGATATCGTAAATGAACAACAAGTGAAAGTTGTATCGACATTAACGACGATTCGCGGCGTGTATGTCTGATCGAGCAAAGTAGATCGAGATCGTCACTGTCTCGGCCATGCAACGTCCGAGGGTTAAACGTGACGATCGATGGGGTAACGCTTGAACGATGCCATTCGATCGCATAAAGGATCCAATTTTCGCGAGTTTACAAGGGTAGAAGCGGGACGGGGGATCCGTTGAACGGTGGTACGCACCTGTGCCTCCCCCAGCTGGGGGTGCAGCGCGAAGAGACGTGGCAACGATCCTCTCGATCGCGTGCAACGGACAGAGAGGAAAGTTTATCGAGGGCTGATAGCGCAGAAAGGAAAGGCTATGGTGGATAGAGAGAGAGAGAGAGAGAGAGAGAGGGAAAGCGTTAGAATCTGTCTGGTAGAGGGAGTCGGATCTGCTGGCAGCGGAGGAACGAAAACAGCGAAGCTCGAGGCGTAAGGGTGGCGAGGAAGCGAGAGGGAAATCGAAGGAACGAGAGCGGAGCAGAGGAAAGGCAGAGAGCGAGAGAGGAGTAGCGGTGAAGTTTGAAGGTAAAAGCGAGAAGGAACTATCAAGGGAGAAAGAAGCCGCGATTCGCGAAGGGTGTCAGAGAAAGAGGGTGACAGTTGCTCGGTGGTGGTGGCATAACGAAAGAGAGAGAAAGAGAGATGGCAGATTGAATCGGACGAAGACGGTGAGCGCGTGTAGGCGGTGGTGGAAGAGCGAGAGAGCGTAGTCGAGCGACCGTCCCGCTGTGGCCACGAGCTCCGACGCTCGGGGAACGTAGGTAGTGCGTGAACTTCCGGCCGAGTGAAACGGACAAGAGAGAAAAGGGAAAGAAGGAAGGAAGGAAGGAAGGAAGGAAGGAAGGAAAGAAAGAAAGAAAGAAAGGAAGGAAGAAGGGTCACATTTATTCGATTCACCCTTCGAGAGCTCGGAATCCTCCCTGGCTCGGTCGGACTTTGGTTGTGCTTAATTTGCCGGACCTTTAAGGACACGTAGGGGGGTGAACAGCAGGATCAGAACGGTACGAGGAACAGGACATACGTATTATACCCGTGGAGAAGGATTCAGTGAAAAATCTAAAGTGATCACGGAGCGTGTGAGAGAGAGAGAGAGAGAGAGAAAGAGAGAGAGTGTGTGTGTGTGTGTGTGTGTGCGAGTGTCGTCGTTGGTGAAAAGAAGAGGTTTTCGTGGTGGTCGTCGTCGTCGCTCGATCGCCCTCGGGAAACGGTGAGGGACGCGAGTGCGTTTGTTATGCGTGCCAGAGCGTGGTACAGTGGCGGTTGACGGCGACGAAGGCGAGGAACAGGAGGACGAGAAGGAAAATAAGAAGAAGCGAAGGAAAAAACGAAGGGACCGAAGGAAGAATAAGAGGAAGAAGAAGAGGCAGCAGAAACGATTATCAAGGAGGACGTGGACGTGGACGTGGAGGAGGTGGTGGTGGAGGAGGAGGTGGAGGAGGAGGAGGTGGAAGAGACGGTGGAAGAAGAGGAACAGGTGCGAGTGCGAGTGGTGGTGCAGGTGTGGGTGCGGGAACGGAAGCAGCAGCCGAGAAGAGAAAGGAAACGTACGCGGGAGAGCCGTCGAGGGTGCGTTTTCGTGTGTTGCCGCAGGGGCGGAGGGGAGGGAGACTCGAAAGGGAGGAAAAACGACCACGTCGACGACGACGACAACGAGGAGAAAGAAGGAGAGGAGGAGAGGTGCTGGAGGAAGACGAGGAAGAAGAAAAGGAAGGAAGTGGATGGTTTTCGTTTGTACCTTTGTCGCGATCGACATCTAAAGAGAGAGTTTTAGAGTTTAGGAGAGAGGACACCAGGCGTTTATATACCACCTCTCTTCTCTCTCTCTCTCTCTCTCTGTCTCTCCCTCTCTCCGAGTCTCTGTGTGAGCGATCGTTTGTTACGCGAACGACCAGTGAAGAGGAAGAAAACGATAAGAACACCGGCTGTGTTTTGCCAGCCGATCGCTCGATCGAAAGAAGAAAGAATACCTGAAGACGAGAAAGGATATCGAAGGGAAGAGGTGGTATGTGGTGATATCTTCTCTTTTTTTTTTGCCACCTTTTTTTTCTCTCCTTGGTTCTTTCTCCCGTTCGTTTCGCATCTGGCAAAGGGTTACACTGTGCGTTCTACGTGGAGACGAAGCTTTTCGTCGAGTGTTGTGCGCTTTTTCAAAGTGGTGCCTAAGCACGAAGAGGGAATCGCCAGCAGGGCAGAGGCTCGAACGCATGTAGGAACATGGCCGCAACCAGCCCCTGCCTCCCTCTAGAGGTGAGTCCACCGAAACCCCAATGACTTTCCTTTCGAATTCTTCAACCTACCGATTTTCATTCTTTCCAATCAACCCGTCTCTCCATCGGAATCATTCAATTCTCTCTCTATTTTATTCTCCACCGATCTAATGATCGATCGAACCTACTACTTCTCGTTGCAAATTTCTAATCTCTACCCGACATCACGTCGCTTGATTAGCCTTGATTCCGTTTAATGTGTTTACCCGATTTGTTCAGAGGGTATCGTTCACGTTTTGATAGAGCCGTTTAAAGGTTGAATGCCACGGAGGTCGCTGATAACCGGCGAATTGAATTCAATTGACGCTAAAGCTACGATTTTACGCTTTGTGTATGTACCGAATGCCATCCGATACGTAGTTCAAGCTGAAACGTTGATGATTTTACACGAGAAAAGTTTTTCTTACGCAGCATCGTTCTTGAGAACAACGAGGTTGAATATTCTTTGGGTACGCGTGCACCTAGGTATCGCACGCTCAACTTAATCGATTACGCTACACATCGGTATTTTAATAATGCCACGAAGGATACTGATTAATAACACGTTTTAATAGTGTTCATAATTGCATTTATTGATTTGTTACTTCGAAATTGCCGAGAAACAAATTTTTATTCCGGTGCTTTCGCTATGTATATTCGGCAGAAGAGAATCACATTCACTGTTTTCGTAGCTGCTACGTTCTTCAGTACTTGCAAAAGCGAAAAACAAGGGGGACCCTGAGCAATATTAACGATCAACCGGTGACCCAGAGTAACAAATTGAATGATTAGACGGGGGAATTGAATAATCGTAGCGCGTTAGACGCGTCAGTTTTCACTGTGTCAACCAACGCGATAGACATCAGAGTATGTTTTGCAATTTTACACTTAACACCATTAGAAGAAAAGATTGTTCAACTAATTAAGGTACGGTAGGATGGATTGCTCGTTAGAAATGATTCCAGTAGCTGAAGCTTTACGTGATTCAGATCGTAATACGACGGTGCTGCTACCAATTTGACCTCTTTACGAAGCTGTATCACGTTTGCTTGCTCGAGCATAAATCAAGCACGATCTGTTTAACGCGTTCATTGTCACAATAAAAGTAGGCAAAAATAGACACGCGATGATATAGATTATTAATACGCGAAGGATTCATTTTTCAAACTTATCGCTTTTCCTATTTCGAGATCGATCAGCTGTGTTTCTAAAAAAGCACCTGCTTCCGTGTACAGGTATTCGAAACGATCCGAAGACCATCTTTAGTCGCATCTAGATTCAAAAAAGGAACTTATCTCCTCGGGATGTAACACGGTACCCCGATGACTCGTTACACCGACTTTGTTCAGCCTGTATCGCGTTGGCCCCGTTTATTTTACGGTTCCTATCGAGCTTTCATCGCGTCACTTATCAGTCGGTGCTGTCTGTGTTGGTGTTGGTACTCCCCGGGAGGGAGAATTTTCAACAAAAATGAAACAGTCCTCGTAGCAACGTTTCGCTCCTAGCTTGGCCACGTTCCTTTGAATCTTCCTCGCCTTCTTCTAGTAACCCTCGTTAAGGAGTAACCGTATTTCGCCAAGGAGTTTTTTGTAACGGGCCCACGCGTACGCCTACACGCCGCGTCCCCTTTTTACCCTTTAATCGTATCGATTAAATCGTACCGATGTGCCAGCCAACGGATGGACGCTTCGAACGCACCTCCTTTTTTGTTCCCGTGAATAATTTCTTTCATGTTGCTCGGAATCGTTGGTCCGTGACACAGGGTCGCCGGGAAGGTAGCAGGGATTATTTTTAACCCTCTGGTATCTGCGAATTTTTTATTAATCTGAAATCTACGCTTTTAGTAAACCTTCGAGCGGTTAAGTTAAAAACGAAAGTCAAATCGTTAAGGTTAATCAAGTGAGGAAGAGAGAGATGGCATTAATTTCTACGGTGTCATTTCTCTCGCGGCTAGAATGCTCGTAAATACAAAGACCGTCCACTTCGAATTCTCGTTGACCCAGCTGTAATTTGGCCTGCTGCATTGGAAATTTATTTTATACGGAAACGATTTATCGCTTTCATTAAAACGACGGACAATCGTGAGCGTTGGTCCATGGGCTGTACAACTTCACCCTGCTTGCTCTAGTTAACCCCTCTTCTCTCTTTGTCTGTTCGAATCGTCGAAAAAAGGGTCAACGATCCGAATCGAAGCGTTTCTTCTATAGATAGTCGTCTTCCAATCGAACTCAACCTTATCACCGATCCTGTTTACTTCGATTTCAGCTTTTATACCCTTATTTCTCTGTTCCTCTTCGTTCCTTCCTCGCACCGATCATCGATGATTATAACGGTGGCGAACGCGTGAAACACCATTAGATTCTATTGGAGACGTTGTCGAGAAGGCATCGAACAACTTATCGAATGTTGCTTTCGAAGCGATTCAAGTTTCAAACTCTGTGCGCGAAATTCACGCTCGATGGAACACCTAAAAGTGAAAACTTGCCTGCTTCGAGGGTGTAAACCAAGATGCATGCTTGCGATGCTTCCTGCGTACGGAAAATGTTTCGAGTTTCTGTATAAAGCGCATGGTATCGGAGAATCAACTGTAAGGTTGTTTGAAATTTACTATTTATGTTATTTAAGATATATTCCGTTCGTCGAGGAATCTTTCAGGGAACTTTCACGATTACGGAAAACGAGGTCGACGATCTCTGTCCAAGAGTGTCCTCGCAGACGTTAATTTATTAGAGAACCGTGAGTTTGTCACGTAAAAGCCGATGTTACGTAACTAGCAATTAAATAATGGCTCGAAGCGTGCCGGCCGGTCGTTTGGCCGTTCGTCGGCTAATCGCGTCCCTCGTGTATCCAGTCTCGATTCGATCGATCGATCGACCTGTCACGCTCTCGACCGTTCGCGATCTTTCGAACGTAAAGCAACGAAATCGTGCGATACAATGAACTTTCCTTGAAACGTTTTACCCGGTGATGTAATAGTTCTCGATAGATGCAAACTCTTCGTTTGCGTACTCACGATCAGCTGATCAGACACGTATGTAAAAAGAATAAGAAAGAAAGAATATTCGACGACCCAAAAAACCGAATCGAACAATTTTCGAAAGAAAGAGGACAACCCCCGTGGCACGGCACTCTTTTCTCCCTTCCCCTTCCCTCCGCTCCATCAACGTCTCGAATCATAAAAACCTCTGAAATTGGGTCGACATTCCAACGGAAGCGTTCGTCGACTCGCTGGTATCAGGCCGATTGTCGAGGCTGATTGCTTTCCTGGGGATAGACCGAGTTTTCCACCGGCGGGGGGTTGGTAAGAGTGGCGATGTCCGCGAAAGGCACGTGTGAACTGTTACACGGATTGCTAGTTGGCAGGACTGGTTGTGACGCCTATAGGTTAGCATAGAGTGTACGAGGAGGCTGGAGGAATCGTGGAATCGGGGGTGGAGGAGCGAGGGGGTGGAAGAGGATCGCTCGAACGTGCGAGGAGGGGTCGAAAGGACGGCATGAATGAACGATCGATAGATATATAGTTGCTCGCTGCAAGATATCTACCCCTCCGTTGCGTTTTCTTCGCTCAGATTTCTTTTAGGATCCAAAGAAAAATCGAAATTGCCATATTTCATGTATTACACTTAATCGAACCAAGCCAATTGATCTGAAACAATGTAAATGTCATCGTAATTAGGTTAAACGAAGAAAACGTTGAGATATCATCGTGAATGTAAAAAGCATGCTCAGAGTAAGCTTTGTCGACTCGAGGGAATCGCAAGCTTTATTATGTACGAAGGACACGTATGCGCGAGCTGCCGTGGCGTAGCTCGAGCATGTTCACGCACACGCAACGCCTCTACAGCCTGGTCCATAAAAGAAACTTTCGTAATATCGATTCACCGGATTGCCCTGTACCGAGAAAAAAAAAACCTAACGAAAATCCTTTTCCCTCCTTTGGAAATATTCAATTTTTCATTGTTACCAAAATATCATTCCCTTTCAGTTATTCGTTTGCGTAGAGTCAAGCCGGGCCAAGCGCGTTCGTTTGAAATGCAAAGCGATTAAATCTTTTTTTTTTTTACGAAACACCATTCGTATTCGAAATGGTGAAAGTTTGTTTGAAAAGCATTTAGGTATCAACGAACTACTTTCACGGTAGAATGTTGCTTTTCCTGCGTTTACCGAGCTGTTTCGATTTCGAACGGTCTTAACTTGGCTGTCGGTGACAGCCTTGTTAATTACTTCGGACGATTTTACTTTTCCGTAATTGAACTTTCGTTGTGTTTCGTTTCGTGAAACAACAACGGTATTAATTAACCCGTTAATCGGAGAAAACTGGCTTAACTAACTTCCAACATGATGCGACAAAGGATCGTCTGTACGAAGGGTGGTGATTAGTTTTTATCCACCGTGTACACGTTAGGGGTTGCGTAGCGAAGGAAACGGGCTCGGTTTCCCGATGACCAATGGCGTTTCGAATGCTCGGTGACCTCGTGGCGTGGGCGGAAGTGGATCCTGCGAGGGTATGCGTACGTCACTGCGTGTGTGCGTGCCCACGGTGCGCACACGTCCACTTTCCTCGTATTCCGGCTCGTTCGACTCTTCTTCTCTCCTACCATTTTCTCTTCTCTTATACTGTCCCCTGCCTTTTACTCACTGTCTCCCTTTATCTTTCCTCGTACCACTTGGCAAATGCCGGAGACGTCGAGACGCTCTGGCTGACCTTACTATTGACAAGGGCGCCTTGCCTGATTTATTAACCTTCGGTTACCGTAAGAAAATGAGCTTTGCGTTGTATCGTACAAACAGATTGATACAAACGGAACAGGATCGAAAGATACTTGGAACGTTTTGAAATTTCACTTTATAGAAAGGTTGGATTCTTTTTATTCGCCACACTCTATCTTTCATCCCTCTGTGATCTAATAATCTTCGCTGGGAAACCGTTTACGTTGCCCCGTTGCTGTAATGTTATAGTTCAAGGATCTGAGAAACGATTCGAGAAATATCCAGTATTCC